CCACACGTCTGTCCGGGCCGCAGCGAGATAGAACGCTCCCCCCGGCCCAGTGACGCGGGCACTGCAACCCCGCGGGGGCTCGTGCCTGAACGGAGAGGGGGGCACTCACCGCCCAGGACGGTGCCCAGGAAGAGACATTTCTTCTTGTGGCGTTTCAAGAAGCTCCACAGCGAGCGGAGCATCCTACCCCGCGGCCCGGCGCCGCCGCCGCCGCCCGGACGCTGTGACGTAGAGCGTGGGGCGTGGCCGGACGTTCTGGGTCCTGCAGGCGGAGGGGGTGGGTTCGGTCTTCGCTGGTGCCCGCGCACTTCCGGGTCCCCCCGGAAACGCCCGCCCCGCACGCTGGGTTCCGGCAGGCCGGACATGGAGGCGACGACGGAGGCGTGGATGGACCGAGCGCTACGCATGGTGCGGGCCGCCGCGGAGCCCCTCCCCCCTCCGCCTGGAGGGCGGGGCCTAGGCCGGCTTCTGCAGGGGCGCACACTGGCAGCGCGTTCGCGCGTTAACTTTAACGCGAGTTAAAGGGCTGCCTGCGAGGGGCTGGGCCCTCTACCTGGCAGGAGTCTGATCCTGGTCATGCAGGGGCAGTGTGGGTCCCTGGGGCCTGATCCTGGCACAAGGGGGTACTGGTTGGGGTGGCCATCATAGAGGACATCCCAGGTTTCTGCTACTCTGTTCTCTATTGATGCGCAACCTGATGCCTTTATGCTCTCTGTTTTTCTCTTCAAGCAGTTCCTTGAAGAGAAAAATAGCAATTTCTTTTCTTCAAGAGAAAAATAGAGGGTACAAAGGCATCGGGTTTTGTACCAATAGAGAACAGAGGACAACCGGACTGTCCACTGTGATGACAACCCTAATTGTGGGGCCCCTGGGGCCTGATCCCAGCTGTGTGGAGGCACTGCAGGAACCACCCCCACTGGCCAGGGTCAAGCTCTGGGGGTCTCCCACCACCCCTGCTTGGCCCCCATGTGTCATAGCTACCATGCAGGCCTGTGGCCTCTGTGAATCCTCACAGAATCCATGAGGAACCCCATGGGCCAGATGGCACAGCACCAGGGGCTGGATCTGGCCTGCAGGCTGGGGGTTAAGCACCACTGCCCTAGCACAAACGTGCCAGTGACGCCCTGTAATCTGAATGACTTAAACTGAAGGAATTGCTGATAAGGCCACTAGTTTGCAGGCAGGGAACAGGGCTGTTGTGCCAGTATTAGACCTCTGGTTATTCTTAACGCTCTCTCTGTTTTCTCCTGTGTGTTTCTGCAGGCTAAAGAAGCCTTAGAAAATGGGGAAGTTCCTGTCGGCTGCCTTATGGTCTATAAAAATGAGATCCTGGCAATGGGGAGGAATGAGGTGAATGAGACAAAGAATGTAAGTTACAAACAAGGGCCTGCCACTGAAGACTGCTTGTTGCCCTAACAGAGCACACATACTGTGTACAATGGGAGTTTTGCCATTGACTTTAGTGTCAACAGGATTTGGAACAGCACATCATGTACATCTCAGACTTCTGTCTGTTTGTGTCTCACTATTTTGTGTTCCCCCCCACTCTAATCTTTTATATGTTTGTGTCTCGGAGCATGGTTGTTTTAAGTGCACTTGCTGTCATCTAAGATGGGGGTGGGGGGTGTCAAGTGTATGCCCTGTGGGCTGGATCCAGCTCATGGAGCTGCTTTATCCAACTTGCTGGGCTACCAGCGGGCCCCTGGAAGTTGTGGGGTTTGGACAGGGAGGCATGATGTGCTGCAGAATCAGGGATGCTTGGGCCTTGGGGGACATGACAGTTGGTGGCAGGTGGGTGAGAAAGAGCTGATGCAGCCCCGGTTGCCCTCTGGCTGCTTTTTCTGCTGCCACACCCATGGCCTCAGCTCCTTGGCTGCTGGTTCTGTTGCTGCCACAATGTGCTGTGTGCTGGAGCCAGAGCTGCAACACGAAACATGTGCCAGCACCAGAATCTCCAGCTCCATAATAGACATGCAGCAAGAGCTGCTGCTGTGTGTACCAAGCGGGAGCTGGAGCTGCCGGCACTGCTGCCACTTGCTCCAGAGCCACCCCATGCTCTTTTGGATCACCGGGGCAAGAAGCCCTGTAACCTGGATCTGGCCTAGGACAAGAGGTGATTTTAACATCTCGATCTCAGGTGTTCATATGGAAAGGTATTTAGCTATGTTTGTCTGAAATAAGGCAGAAGGGCACGGCAGGGTGGTATCTTGAGTGCTGTCAGAGAGGCAGCAGTCTACTTCTTCAGATATTATGACAAAGTAGTCTGTCACCTATAAAAGGTGCTGCTGTCCAAATGAGTTAGTGTCCAAGATGCCACTCTGCTTTCTGCTGTTGTTAATTTAGTTAGTGATAGTAATTTTATATGAATAATTGATATAATAATTTCTACTTGCCTGTATTTTCTTGCATACCAACCCCCTTCCCCATATCCGGGGCGGATAAGACACCCTGGTTTGAGAAGGCAGAATGAAGAAAAAAAGATATTTTCCAGAGTCTTCCCTGCCTCAACATAGGCTCACACTGGCTGAATGTTCCCTGGTGCATGCGTCACTCGCCCTCTCCTTCCAGCTCCAAAATTTAAGCCAGTTTGGCAGCAGTTGTGATAGGTTGAGCTTTGGATGTGGAAAGAGAGGCTGAGTGACACTGGGCATGTCAACACGTACATTAATGCACCTTAGATACTGCGCATTTAGTTTAGTACTTACTTAATAAAGTACTAACTAAATGCTCAGTAACTGGCTGTGCAGTAATGCTGGCACATGGATATTTTGTGATGCTTACTGCGCGTTAGCTCAAATACTGTCTAGTAGGCTGTTAGCACTACTGCATGATGTTATTTGGCTAATAAAGTCTTGTGTAGACACGCCTACTGAGAGCTGGACTCCATTCTTGCTGTATGGGCCCAGGGGTAGCCATTACAGTGTCCCCATGCCTCCATTCTAGAACAGAAACCAGCCTTCTTACTAAAAACATGCACCCCAATTCTGGGTGACTAATTTTTGCATGTGGTATGTGAGTAAATGCAGTATTAATAGACGTGGGGGGAAATGTCCCAAAAGCATTTTTGAGGTTTAAATTTTTTTCCTGTACCCTCTAGTACAAACAGGGAACTATTCACAGTTTGCCTGTGTGAGAGAGAGCAAGAACCATTCACCTAGGATTGCTAATAGTCTGTTAGTTTGTTGTGGGCCTCTTTCCTTCCCCTTTCTAGCATTCTCCTCTTGGACCTGGGAAAACTTTCCCATAAAGCATTGGTTTCAACAAACTAGCATTTTCCAACAAAAAATAGTTTTGCTGAAAACTTCTTAATGAATTGTACTTGTTTAGTTATGTTAATTAATTCTACTAGGTAAAAATATTGATAATAATAGGCATTAAAAATTAGAAAAGAAAGCAGATCCATACAGATACAGTGTAGCTATATACAAATACGTATAGTAAGTACAGCTTGTTTTACTAAATTCTGGTATGCAATTAAAGTAATACCCAATTTTCTTTAGACTACAATATGCTGTGGTAAAGATGATGGATTGTAATGATAGGATACTACAACTTACATGTGCATACTTACACATCATTATATTATATGGGAAACCCTTGCTCACACTAATGACTGGAAAATAGATGGCAAAATATTGAAGTAATTTACCAATTAAATGACACCACAAGGCTATTGCTTTGCAAGACATGCTTTGATAAGTATGGTTGAATTATTTACAATAATACTTTATAAGATAGTAATTGATAATATATCATGGGTTTTTCCAAAAGTAAAGTAGGTCTTGTTTTACAAAGCCTAACTACTGCTCTTTTTTGGGAAAACATCTCTGGGAAGCAGACAACTAAGATTACTGGGTTTTGTATGCACATCATAGGAGAAAAGGTCTGTTGTACTGTTTACCAGAATTATGCCAGCAGTCAAGACTTCTTTTAAACCTTCTGCTCTCAAAATTTGGATCCCATTCCAGCAGCCTTATTTGTATGGGTACCTTCTATACCCAAAGGGGGCCCACTGAACAGTGGGACTGAGAGGATAGATCCAATTGCAGAATTAAGCCTTAATTTTATTTTTAAAATTGATCATGCTGTTTTTTAATTCCAGAAACGATGGTAAATATGTCTTTTATATCTGTTGGATGATTTTCGTAAACTTTGCGTATCAGTTTTGATTTCCATCTCTAACTCATGAAAATTAAGTTTAGAACACATTAGAGGTTTCAGTTTCAAACCTATAAACATCACTGAAATTCAATCATGTATTGAGTAAACCACACCAGGTATTTGGCAAAATAAAGAACTACTATTTTCTAATTTAAAGAGTAAGCGAAGAATACTGACACCAGTTGAAATGGTTTGGGTACTGGAAGACAGAATGTAACCACAGAAAGTGATCATCACAAAAATCAGACTGAACATCTTTAGTACTGCAGAAAGTATCAAGAAAGCTTCAAGCCAAATTTTCAGTCATGAGCCTGTAAAGATAAGCTAATTCTTTAAGCTTGTTTCAAGTGGCCTGATTTTTCAGAAGTGTTGAGGAATCACCATTCCCACTGTTTCCAGCAGGAGCAGTAAGTGATTTGGATCTTTCTAACTCAGGCCATTTTTGTTTAAGCTGCCGAGCTTCAGATCTTTATGGTTTAATTTTCAGAAGTGCTGGGTACCCATCACTCTCATTTAGGTCAGTGAGAACTTTGGGTGTACTGTGCTTTTGAATATTTGGCTTTTGTTCTTTAATTACATCAAGCAGTCTGACAGTGTGAGAGTGAAGATGAACACATACCAGGAACTATGGTAAGCAGGAAAAGACCAAAATGCCTTCAGTTTCTCCCTTGGTCTTTTTATTCTTATGACATTTTCTGGCATTGTTTAATAACATAGGACTGGAAGGAACCTCCTGGGTCATTAAAGCTATTGCAGCAAATATAGTGTGTAATTGCTTTCATAAATGTGTCAGTTTCCATTATACAATCATTTAAGTTTCTTGTCCTCTCATCTCATATTGGAAGGCTTTTCCAGAAACGTACTCCTCTGACACTCACCAACCTTCTAATTTCCTACCTGAACTTATTTGTGGCCCTTTGTTCTCGTGCCAATGTTGGCACTTAGTTTAAACAGTTCTTTTCCTTCCCTGATATTTAGTGCCTAATGTATTTATAGAAAAGAACTGCATTGCCTCTCAGCCTTTGGTATATATATTTTCAGGTTAACCAAAAGACTCTTTTCTCCAAATCATCCTATTTGTCCTTCTCTGCATCCATTCTTGTTT